GGAGCTACGTGTAGACAGCGAAGACGTGACGGACGCCACGGTACACACACACACGCGCACACACAGAGCCCACGTAAGACACGGAGTGTGCGTTGGGCGTTCCGTTGCTGTTCAACAGTTGGAGCGGTGGCGCAGCGGTTGACGCGCTGAGCATTTGTGAACCGGCCGGCAAGCGTCAGCGGGCAGCCAAGGATGGTGACATCTGAACCGCGTTGTGTGCGCGTCTACGCGGCCACCCCCCCTCCCTCCTCCTTACGCCAACTCGGCCCTGTCCAGTGTGGCGAGGTATGGTTGAAACTACGCTCACGGCCCGATACGGCGCGCAAGTGGAGCGCCATCGTCATCCAGCAGCGGATGGACAACGGGACCCGACGTTTAGAGTCGTGAACAGATCTAACAGCGGCACAGATCGTCCGCATCTGTCAATGGCGCTGCACACCGATACACGACGATCAATATGGCACGCAAACAGATAAAGACAATTAATTACAAGTGATGTGATCTCACTCTTTACCCAGCGCCCCACCAATGATGATGAGGTTAGTTATGATGAGAGTTATGATGATGGTGGTGGTGGTGTTGAAGAGTTTGAAAACTCCTCTGTCCGGTGTCAAAAAACCGTGACTCCAGCACTCGGCGACCAATAACTCGTTGCCGTCCAATCTCGCGTCCGTTCGCTTTGTTGGCGCAGTCAATCGGTGAGTTAAGTCGTTTATAATTTACGGAAAGAACCAAAAGAACCTCCCCAGCACCCCAGAATTAATTCCAACACCAGGGTGGTCAGAGCGTCCCCTCCATTACCACCGATCGAATCCCACCGAACAGAGACTCCACACATCAAACAAACCTCCTACCGTGTCCTCAAGCCTTGGGACGTTTCAATCGCGACGTGGAGCCCCCCCACAACACATTGCCAGCGCCGTGCCGCCAAGAGAAACGCACACGCGGCAGAAGGAAGACGAATCGGGGGGGGGGGGGGGGGTTGGTTGGCCGTGGGGAGGGAGACAGAGAGACCCTGGCAGGCCGGCCTGTGCGTGCGTGCGTGCGCGTGTGTGCGTTCTTCGTGGGAGTCAACGGGGCGTCGGTAAACGCACGTTGCCAGGATACATCTCGCCGCAATGAACTCGGAGAAGTTAGCGCTGTGCAACAACAAAAAAATGCCCCCCTCTGTCTCGTTCTCTCGCTCTCGCTCGCTCTCCTTCACGGCGCGGAATAACCACGGCGCGCTCGTTGGAGAAACTCCAGCTCGGCTGCCGTGCCATGATTTTTTTCCCACCGATTTCATTGACTCGAACGAGTATATGGGAGTAATCGGTTACTTCATCATGAGTTGTCGAAGTAATCTGCGGAATGTTTTTTTTTACACCCCCTCCAAAACCACCACCCCCACCCTTAACCATACCCCACTCGCTCCCACCCTGAATAGCTGGGGCAGGAAATACAATATTTTTCGGAGCTCAGCCCTGGACAGCTCCGTCTGAAGTGAATGCTTAATAGTGAGGCGTGCGTGTTTAAACTTAGACAAGCCTGGCTCTGCTGACGAACAGCCTGGATATCCAAACCGGTCCAGACTTTGTTTGCCTTAACAAACGCTCCTTGATGGCATTATTGTATGAAGGCAAAGGCACACATGTCAACCCCTTATCAGTGCCCTACCTGATTACAGACCAACTCAGACCTTATTAGTGCCCTTATAAATCTCAACGTTCATCCTACAAAGTCCCATCACAAGGGAAAAACACAAATAGACAAAAACATCGTTTTTTTGTCCTATTGAAACGGCTGTATGCCGTATGCACCTGAAATCTCAATTTCCCTGTCTCAAGAATACGGGGTAAACCTTATGGGTTGACAGCTATGCTTCAACATTGGAGTCTATGGGAGACTTTAACATTGGAGTCTATGGGAGACTTTAACATTGGAGTCTTGGAAGACTTTAACATTGGAGTCTATGGGAGACTTTAACATTGGAGTCTCTGGGAGACTTTAACATTGGAGTCTATGGGAGACTTTAACTTTGGAGTCTATGGGAGACTTTAACATTGGAGTCTATGGGAGACTTTAACTTTGGAGTCTATGGGAGACTTTAACATTGGAGTCTCTGGGAGACTTTAACATTGGAGTCTATGGGAGACTTTAACTTTGGAGTCTATGGGAGACTTTAACATTGGAGTCTATGGGAGACTTTAACTTTGGAGTCTATGTGAGACTTTAACATTGGAGTCTCTGGGAGACTTTAACATTGGAGTCTATGGGAGACTTTAACATTGGGGTCTATGGGAGACTTTAACTTTGGAGTCTATGGGAGACTTTAACATTGGAGTCTATGGGAGACTTTAACCAACCTGTTTTTTTCTAAGTCGTGATTTATACGGTGCATTCTCAATGCTCGGTACTCCGTGCCGATAGCGGCCTTGGTGAGTGGTCGCGCCGTCATGCACGCCACACGTGCTGCTGCACCACGTGGGATGCCGCTGGCTCCACAACGTGCCAGCATTTAGATGGCATCTTTGGATTGTCCACCAATGTGACGACACACTGGTGGTGTGGTGCATCAACCCTGGCGCTGGGTAATGATTGTCCACCAATGTGACGGCACACTGGTGGTGTGGTGCATCAACCCTGGCGCTGGATAATGATTGTCCACCAATGTGACGACACACTGGTGGTGTGGTGCATCAACCCTAGCGCTGGGTGATGATTGTCCACCAATGTGACACACTGGTTGTGTGGTGAATCAACCCTGGCGCTGGCTAATGATTGTCCACCAATGTGACGACACACTGGTGGTGTGGTGCATCAACCCTGGCGCTGGCTAATGATTGTCCACCAATGTGATGACAGACTGGTGGTGTGGTGCATCAACCATGGCGCTGGGTGATGATTGTCCACCAATGTGACGACACACTGGTGGTGTGGTGCATCAACCCTGGCGCTGGCTAATGATTGTCCACCAATGTGATGACAGACTGGTGGTGTGGTGCATCAACCCTGGCGCTGGGTGATGATTGTCCACCAATGTGACGACACACTGGTGGTGTGGTGAATCACCCTGGCGCTGGCTATTGATTGTCCACCAATGTGACGACACACTGGTGGTGTGGTGACTCAACCCTGGCGCTGGCTGATTGTCCACCAATGTGATGACACACTGGTGGTGTGGTGACTCAACCCCAGCGCTGGGTAATGATTGCCCACCTATGTGACGACACACTGGCGGTGGGTGAATGGCCACGAAGTGGCGGTGACATCCCCACGGCGCCTGTGCCAGGCCAGATGCACTTTGAGGCCACGCGAAGTGACGAAGGCTCGCTGGCAGGAGGTATCGGGACAGACCCATGTGCTATGGGTCGGCTGACTGAGATGACTGGTAAATGCATCAGCTGTACCCCTACTGTGCCAACTTGCTGCATTTTAGCCGCCCGGCTTCCGCTCGTTGTTGTGAGCGTCGCTCCTCTGCCCTCCGTTGTTGCTCGAGGGCGACTGCCCCCAACTGCCCAGTAGCAGCGTCCTTCACGAGCCTCTTCCATAGAGGTCGATCTTGACACCGCTGATACCGGTCATCGGCAAGTCCGCTCAGCTCCTCACCCTCCTGTACCACATCACTCCAACTCTTCTCCAGCCCGTGCCGTGCCCGTTTATCCCCCTCTATGCGGCAAAACGGAAGCTGCTTGGGCATGCGGTGGCTGGGCATGCGGGCTACATGACCCAGCCAACGCAGCCTTGCCTGCCGGATGAGCTCACCGATGGGACTTTGTCTAGATCTTTCAAGTATTTTTGAGCTCCTCACACAATCCAGCCTGGTTAAACCCAGGATGGATCGTAGGCATGCCAGCCTGAATGTTTCTAAGCGGTGCAAATGCTCCATTAGGGGGGTCAACGTTTCACAAGCATAGATAAAGAGAGGGCATGACCGTGGTTGAGAAGACCCGAAACTTCGTGCGGAGCGAGAGACCAGGTAGCTTCCACACAGCGTTGCGCAGCTGATGAAAAGATAATGCCGCTCGACTGATTCGGAGTGAGACCTCTGCTGTCAAACCGGAGCTGGTCATGAGCACACTGGCCAGGTCTGGAAAATTCTCGACTCTCTCCACAACTGCTCCATCACCAATAGGGAGGCGAGGGGTGGAGTGTTTGGTAACAACATACCTAGGCAGGTTCTTAGTTTTGGTGGGGCTGATGGCAAGGCTCCACCTCTTAGTGGCAAGCTCCAGGTTCAGCAGCAGCGCCTCCAACTCCTCCTCTGAGTGAGCAGCAATCACCAGGTCATCAGCATTACATAACACGGTTGACCAATAGGGAGCCTTCCCTCCTTTTCTACCAAAGCACTACGGTGGAAACACCAAAATAAGCCCGTGATAGAGACCCACCCCCACCCCCACCTCCCCTCCCCGCCCCGCCCCACCTCCCTCGACCCCTCCCTCCAAACAGTTTAGTCCCCACCCCTCACCCCCCTCCACCCCTCACCCCCTCACCCCCCTCCCCCCCTCACCCCCCCCTCCACCCCTCACCCCCTCCCCCCCTCATCCCCCTACCCCTCACCCCCCTCCCCCCCTCACCCCCCCTCACCCCTCACCCCCCTCCCCCCTCCACCCCCCTCCCCCCCTCACCCCCCTCCACCCCACACCCCCCTCCACCCCTCACCCCCCTCCACCCCACACCCCCCTCCACCCCACACCCCCCTCCACCCCACGCCCCCCCTCACCCCTCACCCCCCCTCCACCCCTCCACCCCTCACCCCCCTCCACCCATCACCCCCCTCCACCCCTCACCCCCCTCCCCCCCTCACCCCCCCTCACCCCTAACCCCCCCTCACCCCCCTCCCCCCCTCACCCCCCCTCACCCCTCACCCCCCCTCACCCCCTCACCCCCCTCCCCCCCTCACCCCCCCTCACCCTCTCACCCCCTCCACCCCTCAACCCCCCTCCCCCCTCCCCCCCCTCCACCCATTTAGTCCCCGCCCCTCCACCCCTCCCCCCCAAACCCCCACCGCCGCCTCTTCCCAGCGTGCACCGCGCGCGGTAACGCTCTGGCTGCGATGGACGACTCGGAGCGACCCGTGGTGAACGGCAAGAAGGAGGCGGCGGAGGAGGAGAAGGAGGAGGCGGAGGAGGCGGGGGAGGAGGAGGAGGACGACGCCACCGCCGCGGTGGACGAGTCGGCGGGGGCGCAGAAGCTGAAGAAGAAGAAAAAGAAGAAGAAAAAGAAGGCCGGTAACGAGGCACTTTGCGTCGGCCGTGAGGCAGCCCTCTCCCGCGTTTAGTTTTGCTACAGCGGATAGGGGCCGCGACGCTCTGTGCCCGCGCGCCATTGGTCGGCGGGGCCGCTCGCGCCAGCCGTTGGGCCAATCGCGTGCCGCGTTACTGGCGCGGTCGCCTATCGAGTGTAGGGTATTGAGGTTGAGGCCTTCCCGCTCCCCTCCCCATGCCATGTTAATCTCATGTCGCGTACACGTGAACGCGTGACACGCATGTTGCGTGTCATGCGTTCACGTGTGTCTGCGCGCGCGCGTGTGTTGAACTTTGCGTAGGCAACCGTGGTTGCTGATCGGAGGTGCGGGAGAGGAGGAGGGGTGGGGCGATACGACAAAGTAAAGGCAAAAATCAGTTCTATAGAAACGATCTTTGATTTGATATTGATCTGAAGAAATACGTTTATCGATTGTGATGATTTGGAAGTGGCCGTAGCTCTCCACTGGTGGCACAGCTGTCAAACCCAAACACTTTAGCCGCGCGTTCCTTGTTACGGGGAAGTTTTCATGTCCACAGGGCGTACAGCCGTTTCAATACGGGCAATAAAAAAACATACAATGTTAGTGTTGCTCCCTTGTGATGGGACTTTGTAAGGATGAACGTTGAGATTTATAAGGGACACGGGGTGACCAATAAGCTCTAAATGGCTCGCAGAGCTATACCAAATAAATGAAACTGATAAGGGGTTGATAGGTATGTAGTCGTGACTTCCTCATATCGGAAGCGAGAGCGTTCCAGACGGCCGCAGGAGCGCATCTGAAAGGGCGCCGTCGTCTTTGCTTGACAGCTGAGAGAGGCAACGGCGGTGATGGACGCGCACAGCCACAGTAAAATGGACATCTGTGAGTGGAAGAAGAGCTTCATGGCTCATCGGATTCCTCCTGAGTCTGATTGCCAGTCCACTGCTGGGCACGGCGTTGCTGGACCTGACGGTTAACGTGACCCCGGCTTGTGTCGGTGGTGGATTGAAGGTCAGGCAGCATAGGGCGTCTGAGCGTAGTAGCGTACAACACTATGTGTCGCTGCTCTTTCTCCAACAGCATGCACTAGCCCAGTAACAGCCTATAACACCTGTGTTTCGCAGGGTGGCGATTTACCCGTGGTAAAAGTGAGGGCGCGTAACGAATGGTGATTTGGTCATAGGCGTGCGAATAGCAGTATTTGTCATGCGACCACAAATCTGTTTTAATTACAAACACAAATTTAATTAGTACTGTGAAAGTGGCGGGTACGCCACGAAGTTCGTCGGCTGCTGTAAAATAGCGTGGTATGAGAGCCGACTTGCACTTGTACGGAAGCAGATTTTTGTTATTAAAATTGTGGATTATGGTAAGATTAAGACCAGTTAGACACCCTGCACCACTTAGCGTGACTTCACTCGGGGTTGAATAGTGTGCTTTTTAAAAAAAATGCTACAAACTGGAATGCGCACAGATTTTTTGGAAAGTTTCAACTTAAACTTCAATCAATCTTCATTTGAAGCTTTCGTGACTGCAGGAATCCATACTCTTAGTTTCTCCAGTAAAGTCACGTAGGTACAATGGACGCTTGTTTTGCACCCAAAACGTCGTGATTTATTATAAACTTCAACGTTGATTACATGAACCTGGCAACCCGAGTTAGATTCTGAACCGCGGCTAACATCGCTGGTGAGCGAGATCTGAATCGTTCTTCCCAAACTCGCACTGGCCCGCATGGTGAAGTATGGTCAAACGATGCGATGCATCCAGAAGTGGTTTGGCAAATGATTGCAACGTATTCGCAATGTATCACTTTATTAACTGTCGTTATTAAATGATAACTTGGAAATTATTGGCGGTGCTCGTTAACAACAGCTTTGGTCTTTGACATTTCACACGATTAAACAATGCTATTGGCTCTTTTCGTAATAAAGATATTGATTTTGTACATTATCTGCTGTTAAACACAAATTCCCCTTTGTTCACAAACCTCAAAGTCAGCAATAACAAATTAATATGCAGCTTTACCTTGCTTTATGCGGGTTCGGTTTGTGTGATTTTGCGTATTTGCGGCTTGCCAATTTCTAGCATAAATTCATTACACGCGTTTTGAATTTACTCACGTGCGTCTAAGCGATCGGACGTGTGTGTTACTGTATGCGCTACTTGGCAGGCAGCTGGCCCATGCAGTTTTGCTTTGTACTGCGCCCTTCTCTTAGAAGGCATCTAACTCCGATTAGCACGGTTGTCTACGGTACGGTGCGAAAGAAGTTCAACACGAAGCGAGTGAAGCCTGTGGACGGTATTCACAGCGCTCGCGACAGGGGTTTTGGGAAGGGTGCGAGCTCCCCTAGGGAGGTTGCAAATCTCCTCTCAAACCCCTGACGGCTGTCAACCGTTATAAATTGTCACAACTCCACTGGGGGTCATGCGAGGGTGTACACCCGCCCTTGCGTGTGCCCGCGCTCGCGCCAGTGATGTAAACACAGAACGTGCAGCATGAGACGTGACCTCAAAAAGTGGTGGCGTCTTTTTGGAGGTAGGGATAAAATTGTGTGTGTAGCACGCTAGCCAACCAAACTCCAGCCCTTACCCCTAACCACACTCGCTCACCAGACTGTAGCTCTAAAACCTAGCAAAGTGTTCAACCAAACTCTTTCACTACTAGCCTTAACCACACTAGCCCTACCTCCTAACCACTAGCGAACCAAACCTTACCCCTAACTAAACTAGCTAACCATACCCTAGCCTCACCACTAACCCTAACCAAACAGGTGACCCACTCCCTAGATTTAAAAAAAACCCCAACCAACTTGCCATCCAGGTGCTCGTGCGAACCTGAACCCTGACCACACCAACGGTGTCCTCTGCCCCCCCCCGCCCAGCCGGAGACACTGACAAGGAGGCACCGGCGGCAGACGGAGTCGAGGAGGCACCCAAGACGTCGGAGCAGCTGACGTCCCCTACTGCTCCTGCTGTCGCCGACGGCGCTGGAGAGAAGGAGGACGGGGATGAAGGTGGTGCCCTGCCCCCCCCCCCCCCCCGCACTTCTCGCCACTCGCTCGCTCGACGGCGGCTGACTGAGTCTCGCGTGGCTTCCCCCGTCCCTGGTGGCCACCACCGTGGCTTTGTGCAGTCTCCATTCTTTTAGGGGGGCATTTCCAAGCACCGCCAAAAGATTTTGGAAACCCGAGGAAAAACACCATTTGAGGCCCCCTCTTTTAAGGGGCGCCCACCCCCCCCCAAACCTTTCTGAGGCTCCCTCATATCAGAGGGCCAGGGCTAAAAAAACCTGCTCCACCTATCCTCCCTGGTACATGGCTTTAATCCGTTGTTTTGAAGGCAACGGTTGTGTGGGTCACGAAGATATTTTGGGGGCCTCGAAACCTGTAGGACTGTGAGGGAGCCAAGAGGTGGTAGTACATCAAACGGGTGCTTGACCTGTTTTCTGCAAAGCCTTGACTATCACCTCGAATGTGTTGGTTTTTCTCCGGGTTCTTTGGCTTCCTCTCGCACAAGAAACATGCCCGCTAAAATAAATTGGCTGGCATTGGAACTCATTGCGGTTTTCCTGGTTAGACGAAAGACTTCTTATTCTGTACGAAAACTCAACATGTCGGCACAGCGGATTGAACATGGGCGCACGTCCATTGTGCCAATTACGTGGGCGTATCTCGGCCGCGATCATACTAGCTGTTGCGTTGTCGTCGTTAATTGCTTGTTTGGTTTCCCAGACGGTGAGGTCGATGGCGAAGGCGACACGGGCGCAGCCAAGAAGAAGAAGAAAAGGAAGAAGAAGAAGGGGGGGGTGGTGCCCGGGGTGGCACAGGTCCCGGGAGGCAGCGCGCCCGTGGGAGAGAAGGGTGAGTCGAGGAGTTGTCGAGTTGAGAGTTGTTGAGAGTTGGGTTGAGTCGAGGAGTTGAGAGTTTGACATTTGTCTTGCATTCCAAGCTTACGCCGCTTAATATTCCTTGGATTTGTTTCGTGTAATTTTGATTTTCAGCCAACGAATGTTGCAGCTCCCTCCTGAGAATCCTTTTATAATTGACCTCTGGTGCGTGCAGTAAGGCAGCAGAAATTTCCCACAAACACTATCACAAAGGGATATTCGGCAGATGACAGCAATACTAATATTTTTATTCTCAGGGCTTGAATTTCTCAAATTTATGGGGAGAATCATACGTATCATTTGGCTGTTATTCTGCTGTCATTGGTGGCCAGGCTGGCACCATCAACCCAATCGATCTTTATTTTACGTGCCAATATCGCCCTCAATAAAGTAGGCATCGGTGCACATTACAACGTAACGGGAATGGAAAAAAACCCCTCAAGACCCTCAGTGGCTTTCACCTGCTGAGCTAAATAAATTGCAACTGCAAGCAAAGCTCAATAAACTTGAGAAGCCCTGTTGTAATTATAGGCGGCACCCTGAGTTTGCCCCCTGGGTTCTGAGCTGTGCCAGCTCGGCTCTCTGCCCTCTCAGCGGAGTGAATAATTGCAGTATGATACGTTATGACACCAGTTGGCCGGTAAAGCAAGACTATATATACCCGATTCATGGTCACATAGAATAAACACCGATGCGGACAGCAGATGCAAGGTTTTTTTTTAAGAGCTAGGACGATTAGTCGATTATGTTTATAAACAGAAACAAAATGTAATCAACTACTTCCTTTGCGCTTTTACTGTGGTTAGGGGTAGGGCTAGAGTTTGGTTGACGTTGCCAAGCCCCCACCGATCGCCTCCCGTCCCAATGGCACGCGTGGCGAGACATTTTCTGTAATCTGATTTATTGGGTAATCAAACCGATAATTGTTAGGCCCGTCGATAACTTCCGTAATTGGACTGCAGCTCCCACCCAGCTCTGCTTGGCTAACCCTGGTGGGAGGCCCGTCGCAACAAACTTTAATTAGTTTCCTTTGCGTTGGTTTCCAGTGTCCAAGGACGGAGTGGCGTGTGCTCAGACGGACCCGCCCACGATCCCCATATGCGAGCTGTACGCCAACGGCGTCTATCCCAGGGGCCAGGAGTGCGAATACCCGCTGGACCAGGATGGGTGAGTGCGTGGCAGACGCTTGAGGACTCCCATCGGCCACGCGATGGCACTCTCTCGCCCTTGTTCCTTCGATCCCTCAAACTTTCAACTTTTTCCAGGAATGCATTGTGTCCTCACTCTTTTCTATTTTACCAGGCAAGACCCACTGAGCTACATAGCTCTTTTTTTACCGTAGCGACCCGGCCACAAAGTGGCTTATCATCGCGTGGAAATGTATAACGGGCAAATACTCTAAACGCAAGTCGATTCTAAATGTGGAGGGAAAAACCGGAGGACCCGGAGAAAAATCCACACGACGACCACAGGGAGAGAGACACGCACACTCCAAATATATAGCAGGCGTCAGGTTCGTTATCGAAGTGACGACCTCCTGCGTACCAGGCGAGGGAGTAAACTCGCCACTGTGGCGTCCCTCCGCCGCAACAAAGTCCGTTGTTGTCTGTGTGTCTGCGTACTCGTCTCCAAACTTATTTACCACCCACCTTCAGTGCACACTGATCAACGTGTTGATGGACAAAAAGGGCTGTGCCATGCACGTCGGGTCATGCGACTCTGGGACGCTGTGTAAATGGTTACCACGCCCCCTTAAACAGTCAAGCTGTGTGATTTAAGAGATTTTGGAGTAATTGCCAGGCGCGCCATTTTCGAGACTTTTTGTGGTCTTGTAAAGATGTTGCGACTTGTTTGAGATCCCCGTTGAGTATTCTAGGAAAGCCTCGCACCGCTGGCAACGTGTGCGTGCGTGTACATGCGTGTACGTGCGGGAGAGCGATTTTGAGCGTGTCAGTGAAGGCGTGGGCATGTGCGAGTGCATGAGCGCGCGTGGAGTAGTGGTTTAGTGCCCTGCGTTACGAACCCTTCCGATCCGAGTTCAATTATAGGTCATCGCTAACGTCGGTGGAGATTATCCGAACCGGTCCTGGGCCTTCCCTAGGTCGACTCGGCCTTGAACGAGCACTGTGTGTGGTGTTTAAACATCGGCCTGGCATGGCACTGGCCCAATACCCGCTTGCGCTGCGGTCTGGCCCGTCCCGAGGCGGTATTTATATATATATTTATATATATATTTATATATATTTATATATATATATTTAAAAAATCTGAATATTTATACTGGAGGAATCTGATGAGCCATGAAGCTCTGTTTCATAAACGTCCAGTAGGGGCACGGGTTAAGAGCGTTACAACAACAAACAATACAAAAACACGATATGAGTGCAAAGTGCAGGGCAGGCAACCAAGTCGCCCTAAAACATACAAATAAAACTCAACCATCCCCATGCTACCAGGCAAAGCCCACTGAGTGAGGTATTAACTTGTTTTCAGAAGCGAGCCGATCACAGATGGCAGCTCGACAAAAGTGGGTCTGATCGTCGCGGGGAAATTTACCAGCAGCAGCAACAATGTATGACATGGGGAACGTGCGGTGTCTTGTGCGCGCGCTGCGCTGCGTAGACGCGTGGCGTCGTGGCGCACGACGAGCGAGGAGAAGCGAGCGCTGGACCAGGCCAACGAGGAGGACTGGATGGATTTCCGGCAGGCGGCCGAGGCGCATCGGCAGGTGCGCAAGTACGTCACGTCGTGGATCAAGCCCGGCCTGAGCATGATCGAGATCTGGTGGGTACCCGCGCGGTGGCACGTGCGCGCGCACACACATGGAGGGTAAACAATCAGCAGCAGCTCCACTGTTTGTGTGTGGTTGTCTGTTGTTGTCTGATTAGATGTGTGTGAGGGTGTTGGGTTGTATCCGAATCCGGCCGGCACGCGCTGGTTTGTACAATGAGTTTCTCATCCTAGATTTGAAGCTTTCGTGACTGTTCCATGTAAAATTTAATGAAAACAACTAAATTAAATCACGACGTTTCGGGCGCAACAAAAGCGTCCGTCATCAGGTGGGAAAGGGCTTTCCCAAAGAGTGAGTTTCTCATCGTTTGCAGAAATGAATCGTTATTATCTTCGTTGTAGTCCAAGTCGTCGTCATCATCACATGTCATTCGCATAAAGTGTTATATCTGGTTTGAAGACAATCTTTGTGCCGGCGGTACGTGCACTCAGTTAATTTATTTAAAAGGGACATATGCGTGCGTGTGTTGGGGAGTGGGGAGCGGTGCTGTAGTAGTTAGCATGCCTTCATTACGAACCTGGCGCCCGAGTTCATTTCCCGCTCACGGCCAACACCAGTGACGATTATATTAATGAGGCCCTGGCCCTCTGCTCGATCGACTTGGCCTCAAATGAGTACCTAGGTGCAGTGTGTAAACATCGCCACCAGGGAGACAAAGACGGCCGGGCATGGTGCTGGCCACCCACCCCCTCGTGTGCCTTAGTGGCCTTCATCAGTGCTCGCTACTCGCTTACAGCACTTTCCCCATCAGTCTGTTGAGACCACGCGATGGGGGCGGGTCCTTTTGTCCTCAGTGAGAAGCTGGAGGGCTGCTCGCGGCGGCTCATCAAGGAGAACGGCCTCAAGGCGGGGCTCGCCTTTCCCACGGGCTGCTCGCTCAACAACTGCGCGGCCCACTACACGCCCAACGCGGGCGACGCCACGCTGCTGCACACCGACGACGTTTGCAAGATCGACTTTGGCACGCACATCAACGGTAGCCGCTCGCTCCCTCTCAGTGCGTCGGCGTGCGCGTGCCGGTCGTTAGCGCACCGGGCTACGAACCCGGCTCGTCCGGGTTCGATTCACGCTCGCGGCCAACACAGTTGCCGATTTTCTGAACCGGTCCTGGTCGACTTCAGCCTCAATTGAGTACCTGGTGCGGTGTGGAGCTGGCTACCCACCCCCTCGTGTGCCGTGCCGGCCTTCATCGGTGGTTGCTGACAGCACTTGCCCCAACAGTTTGTTGAGGCTATACGGGGATCTTTGTCTTTGTGTGCACTGGCATGGCCTCAAAAGCACACACAGCTTGGCACAAGTGCTGTGGTGACGTCACTGCCTGTTAAGTGGCGAACGGCGGCCGCTGTTGCGCCGGTGTGCAAGCCGTGTCAACGGATGGACTTGTATTTTTACGCAATCTAACCCCGAAAGCCTACGTGTTAACGTAACACAACTTTGCGCTAATGTTTTGTTCGGATATGGTTCTTTTTCATGAGCGTTGTCGTCGCCCATCCCCTCCAACCCCCCACTGTTAGAGATGGACGTAGCTTATGCATGAATTCTTGCAGCCTCGGTTAAAAAGTGTCAAGAACGCCGTATCGCCGGTGGCGATCGGTGCGGGCGAAAGCTCGGTTGGCCGGCACTGCGAGAGAGAGTTTGTGTTGTGCGCGAGCTTGTGACACGGCGTGATTCCGTGCGGCCGTGTCCTGGCAGGTCGCATCATCGACTGTGCCTTCACCGTCACGTTCAACCCGAGATACGACAAACTCCTGGAGGCCGTGAAGGCAGCCACCAACACCGGCATAAAGGCAAGCGTCTCGGTGGTGGCAGATGAGACACTGTTTGTGTCGAAGCCGGTCCCGAGAATATAATGCACTCCTAGAAGGCCGCGGCGGCTGATGGGTATTGTCAGAGATATGTTGATAGTTTTAACGTAGGGAGAGACGGAGGGGTTATTTGTCCACAATGTTTTCTCCGTTCAGTGCATGCATGAAACATGGCACGTGTTTGGCGCTGCCGCTTATGGCGAGAGGCGAGCGATGTGATTGGACGTGACGTTTGCTTGTGGCAATTCTGTGAAAAAATTTAAACCACTGTGAACCACTGCACAATTGTGAAAAAATGTGAATCATTATCAACCACTGAGAATTACCGTGAATCGCTGCGCCACCATTGCGAGCCACCATACACTGCGGTGCTCTGCCGAGCTAGGTTGCTAAAAAGCTAACGTTTTACAACGCTCGACTCGGCCTCTCGACCTAACCCCCCGCATCTGCAGATGGCTGGCATCGACGTGCGTCTGTGCGACATCGGCGAGGCCATCCAGGAGGTGATGGAGTCGTACGAGGTGGAGCTCGACGGAAAGACCTATCAGGGTAGGATGGGGTGCGGTGGCGGTGGCCGGGCAGTGTTGCGCTTCCATCGCGGGGCGCAGGAGCGATGCTCTCGCAACAACGCGTGGAGCGCCGGGCCGCTAAAACACGGGCGAGTTGGTACAGCGGGCAGCACAGGCGGTGCATGTGCCGGTTCTACTCAGTCAACGCACAACGCCCGGGGTCACTGTCCTGCGATCTCCCTGCCGGCAAACGAGCCTCCCGCACTTCACCTGACGGCCTTGAAGTCCACCTTGCCCGGCACCGGTGCTGTGGTGACACCCGATGAGACGATACGTGTGCCCTTTGCACGGGGTGACCCAGGGTGCAGAGTACATGGAACGAATAATCTTCGGGGGGGGGCACAAAAAGCAAATGACGCAAACGCGCAAACAACAACGAAAAAAAAGATCCATTTCTCGGCAAGATATTGTTTCAATAACGTGCGCGAGAGCATTCGCAAGCAAAACTTTACAGTCGCACGTTTTGCGCAGATTAATCGCGAACGTTCAGTGCTGTGGAATGTAACACCACCCGCCCCCCCCCCCCCCCCCCCGTCTAAGCCACCCAGCTTCCTGCAACAAACAAGAAGTCTGTGACGATTACCGTTGTGGCAGTTTCTGTGATGAATTCTCAAAAGAGGGGCTTCACACGTGGTTATAAATCCGAGGTTTCAACTTCAATTTACGTCCACGATTGGGTTACGGACTGTGAACCTAATCAGCCGCAATGCACCCATTCTCAACGGATCTCGCAAATGAAGCGGGATGCAGCAATGACGAGCTCTTGGACGGGCGCAAATGGGATAATAGCCTCGGTCTGCTGTGGGCACAAGTGGTGGGCAGTGCAGCATAATCCATTGTTGTCCCGTACTTCTATGCTCCAGCGTCTGCTCTCCCGGCCTTCGGTCCACGGTGACCAGCGTGGCTGAGTACAGTCGAATAACTCCCGTGCCCCGCACGGCGTGGCAAGGCCTTCGCTCGGTCGGTGGGGTTGACGTGTACACAACAGCGCGTGTCATTTGCGAAGCAACACTAAACCAACCGGTGTTTAGCGCGTCGACCCACCCGAGTGACGTTGACCCCCCGAGTGACGTTGGGGTAGTTGTTCGCAAACCGTCGTTTACGGCTGGACTAACCCGTCCGACCGCCGCCGCCGCTCCCTTTTCTTGTCTTGCAGTGAAGCCAATCAGGAACTTGAACGGACACTCGATCGGACCGTACAGGATACACGCCGGCAAGACCGTGCCCATCGTCAAGGGCGGAGAGGCCACGAGGATGGAGGTGACCGCCGCTGTAATTTGTCGGTTTCGTCTCCTGTTCCCCCGTCCCGCGGCATGAGACAAGGAACCCGTTCGGTGGGGGAGGGGGGGAAATCTTGCGGAGCGGTGTGCGTTCGCTGCGTTGTAGGACGGCCCAGCAGAAGTGCACGCCGCAGAGCTGTACATACGCAATGTGCGTTACAGGCGGAGACCGCCGGTAATGTTCATCACACGACAAAGCTGATCGTTGTAATTCTTGGCAATTTAGCGAAATTAAGTGCGGAACCAAATTTTGTCTGTTTTTTTGCGCGGTCATTAGTGACCGGCCTAAGACCTCCAGTTCACGTGCATCGTGCCAGCCTTCTTTGGTGCTCGCTAACAGCACTTGCACCAAAAGTCTGTTAAGGCTACATGTGCGTGTGCACTTGTTTTCAAATGTGTGCGTGTGTTGCGTGCGTGTGTTGCGTGCGTGTGTGGTACTTGCGTGTGTGGTGTACGTGCGTGGTACGTGCGTGGTACGTGCGTGTGTGCTGCAGGAGGGGGAGGTGTACGCCATCGAGACTTTTGGCAGCACGGGCAAGGGCGTCGTGCATGACGACATGGAGTGCTCTCACTACATGAAGAACTTCGACGTGGGACACGTGCCTCTCCGGTAATTATTTACCTCTGCGCTGCGCGCGCACCCCCACAGCCCCACCATCCCTCACTCATTCTCCCACTTGTAACAAATTAAACTTAACAAGGGGGACGTTCTCGGGAAGGCGCGGGAGATTGAACGAGATGGGGGGGATAAAAGTCAACGGGTTCTGGCAGAAGCGACGGCGCCAATGTGCTGCAGCTGAGTGCGAGAGAGAGATTGGAGCGAGCGAGAGAGAGAGATTGGAGCGAGCGAGAGAGCGAGATTGGAGCGAGCGAGAGAGCGAGAGAACTCTGAACGACCAGGAGAGGGCGATGCTCGCCTCGGCTATTTCTGTGTGAAAGAGATACGCTGTCTGGCGAATGCGAAAACTCCCCCACCTTTTGATCCCAGGAGGAGTAAAAAAAAAAAAGGCCCCGTAGGCTGGAAACATGTTTTAACGGTGCCGTCGTTCGCTCGCGCGCCCGTCCGGACAGGCTGGCGCGCACCAAGCACCTGCTGGGCGTGATCAACGAGAACTTCGGCACGCTGGCATTCTGCCGGCGCTGGCTGGACCGCCTCGGCGAGAGCAAGTACCTGCTGGCGCTGAAGAACCTGTGCGACATGGGCGTGGTGGACGCGTACCCGCCGCTGTGCGACATCCGCGGCTCGTACACGGCGCAGTTCGAGCACACCATCCTGCTGCGGCCCACGTGCAAGGAGGTCGTGAGCAGGGGCAGCGATTACTAAAGGCCCGCCCCCTCAACGGGTGGTGGTGGGAGGGGGTGGAGGCGATGAAACCGCGCCGCTACGAAGCAACGACAAGAAACAAAACACTGCACACTCCCCATTGCGCCCCGTTCGGTTTACCCTTCTGGCTTGCCAACGTTTGCAGTGCGGTTGGTTTAAAAGGGACGGCGTATCCCGCTCCCTCTCCGAGTCCCGTTCCAAGTCGATTCATCGTCCTGCCGCCTCCACCCTTTCGTTTGCCGTCGTGAGTCGACGAATCCCCTCCACCCCCGCCCAACACCGCCCCCCCCCTCCCCCGCCCCACCGAGCTTCTGCGCCACCGACAGAATGCCGTCGCACGCTTCTGCCACTTGTTGGCGCCGCCCCCCCGGAGTCGGCAACGGGCGCGCGCGCGCAACCGCTTGTGTGGTCTGCGCGTGCGCAACCCCGCGCTCCCCCTCCCTCGCTGTAGTCTTGGAGAAGACGAAGCTGACGATTGCTTGGTGATTGGCTCCGGCGGACACCGCCGCCGCCGTTCTCGGTTGGGGGCAGGACGGTGGGAGCGGCGTCGTGTGAAAGCCCCCCCCACCCCACACCCCACACCGGCAGAGACGCGCTCGCTCTCAGGTTTTACTCGTTTTCCCCAAATTCACTCGCACCCGACGCAAAAAAAAAAAACGGTTCGGGATTTATCCGCAGTGGGGGGTGTCACCGTAGCGCCGTTTGTTTTTTTGTTGTTGTTCACCGGCGTGTTTGTTAGCTCGCAAGGCAGGAAGTGACATCGAACGCAAGAGGCTGCTTAACTTATGCAACAGCATAGACGCTTTAATCGTCGCATCCTGGGCGAATCTGCCGCCCGAACGGTCGTTGTGCCCTCGGTCCGTGGTCGGGTGTGCCGCGTTCACGCCCGAGTATTTGGAGATTGGCGGAGTTGGTTGGGGGTGTGGGCGCAGCAGGTAGGAGCCCCTCGGAGAGGCCGGGCCGAGCGACCGATCTACAGAGATCGCCCGCATAGGGCGAGAGTGAGCGTTGGTTTGGTGCGGCGTTGTGGTCGCGAGCGGCTCGGCTGCGGAGCTCACCGTGCCCGGTGAGTCGCCGCTTGCTGAGTGGGAATGTTTGTCTGCTAAGCGCACAATTTGAGCTTCCCGTGTTGAAGTGTTTTCCCCTTAGTTGGGTGACAGGCGCGACTGGCCTGCCCACGTGGGAGCGGGGGGCAGGTGGGGAAAGGGGCCCGCACTGCGATGTAATCCTTGGATTACAAATAAAAGAACCTCACGAAAATGTAACTTGGCGGCTTTTGTGACTCAATGCGCACTTGTCCACGCGACACCGTTGGCCATCTTCCGAAGCGTAGTATTATTTCCTGGCTTGTTACTGTGTTATCTGCTTGATTCGATTATTTCTTTCCCGCGTTTGTTGCCTATGAGGCTTTGCGGACGGAAGCGCGCGTATGCCTGCGCGTACGAACGAACACACATGAGAGATCGCCTCCTTAGTGACCGATTGCCACTTCCTGGCCCGGCCATCGGCCACCGATTGTGGCGGCTTGCAAATTCACGCTCGAGTAGGTGTGGTTGGTGGTGGTGGTGGTGGTCATTCGCTCAGATGCCCATAAGCCGCTGCCTCGTGATGGTTTATACCAGCGGGCCTCGCCGGGTAGCTGCGTAAAACGGCGAGTTAGTGCACCTTTTCGTGAACTCTATCATCTTGCAGGCCTGCGGCGTTTCTCCAACGGTTTCGTAAGCTCCTCCACTGAGGTTGCCGCAGTAGCCCACCGTGTTGCTCGTCCAGGGGGGAAGGGGGGCTCTCGACAAGGTTGACACGAGGTAGCGATGATGGCAGCAGCGACTGTTTTGTTACCGTGCCCTCCGGATTCTAAGTTCGCTCCGAAAAGTAAGACTCGTACCATAACGTGTGCCCGGTGTATATAAAGTTATACAACTATCCTGACACGCACCCACATTACACACCTACCAGATTATAATGCACACCCCACCGCCACCCCTTTGCTTTCGTATACAGGTGGAATAAGTGCATCCTAAAACGGTAATATGAATACGGTGTCACGTCAGTGGTCTTTTGGGCTTCTCTGGCAGACACAATCGGAGTTCGCTTGAGGTTCAACTGCTCTCCCGTTGTCTTCGCACCCAGCCATGAAATCCACACCTTCATTGAAGAGTCAATGCTGGCAACAGACTTCCGGTGGCCTAACTGTTTGTTGGCTCAGCTATTCGTTGGCTCGGCTATTCGTTGGCTCGGCTATTCGTTGGCCCAGCTATTCGTTGGCTCAGCTATTCGTCGGCCCAGCTATTCGTTGGCTCAGCTATTCGTCGGCCCAGCTATTCGTAGGCTCGGCTGTTGGTGGGGGGGGTCGTTGCCATGACGGCGCGTGCCAAAATTCGTGGATTAAAATTGTGCTTCGTTAAACTTGATGCCGGGTGTTAAATCACGCGATCTGAAAATTTGTTGAAAAAAAAAACAAGAATAAAACAGGTGTTAGTTCAAGATGTTCAAACACCAAATAGAAACTTTTTGAAATTCGATTGTGTATTTATTTACAACGCTTGCGAATATCAACTGTACGCAAAGTATCCCTTTTTAGGCTAATTGAACACGCTGCAAACGGAGAGCCCCTTAAACTGACGAAACAAATGAGGGAGTTCCAATCAGGACGACAATTACTCTTTGGTTCTTTCGGTAAAGTCCTCCGGTGAGAGGACGGTCGCTTGTTGTTGCGATCGAAACGTCGTGATCTATTATTTTTTCTACCTCCGTGACTTTACCGAAAGAACCAAAGAGTATGGATTCCTGCAGTCACGAAAGCTTCAAATGAAGCTCCGACGACAATTGATTCTCCAGCTGAACGGCGAGGCCAACGGGAGGAGTAGTGACTGCAAACACGACGTGGGGAAAATATCGACGTTTACGCCGAATACACCGTGGGAGATATTTACGTCTGTCGTGACCGTCTGAATCGGGTTTATCTCTTCACCTTTAGTCAGCCGCGGAACAAACGAAAAGTTTTGGCGCTGCTGTACCGTACTCTTTGTTTTTTTCGGTAAAGTCATGTAGGTAAAAAATAAAAAATGTAAAGCAACTAAATTAAATCACGACGTTTCGGGCGCAACATAAGCGTCCTTCAGGTGGGGACAACGTAGCGAGAAAGCACAACCGCTTCAGTGTGTCTAAGAGATGGCTGTGACGAGGAATTATATAGTCACGCTGCTGTACCGGTTGGTGCTGCGCGCTATGGGCCAATAGCGACGATGTCGATTTGTCTTCTTGGTTCTTTCGGTAAAGTCACATAGAAATAAATTAATAAAATAATAAAAATAAAACATAATAAAATAATTCTCACGACGTTTCGGCCGTCTTCAGGACAGACCTGTTCTTCACCTGAAGACGGCTACTTGCGTTGTGGCCGAAACGTCGTGAGAATTATTTTATTATGTTTTATTTTTATTATTTTATTAATTTCTTTCTACGTGACTTTACCGAAAGAACCAAGAAGATGAATCCCTGCAGTTACGAAAGCTTTAAATCGAAGGATGTCGATTTGGTTTATCTTGGCGGGGTGCGCACATTAACGCAGGGGGTATCGTGGAGCGATTTACGCGTGACGGGAAGCCTGCATCGGCGTCTCGTGCTAGTTTTGAAAGGGTCCCCCCAGGAGCAGCTATCCCTGTGCGTCGCAAAGTGACTCGCCACGTTGCCTGCCATCAGCCAGTAGTCTGCCAGTAAGGGGTGGACGATTTTTGTGTCATCGCGAGGGAGTCGTTTGCCGGGAATGATTTTAGTTTGTCAAAACACAAATGTGTTCCGTGATGCTGCTGGCATCGGGTTAATACATACCGCAGTATAACCCCCCCCCCCCCCTCTTAACGACGGTCATTGGATCCACGAAACCGGTCATTTAAGCGAGTATAGGAAATGCATGTTAAAGGCTTAATTTGTTCCGACGGCATCGAAAGTTACCCCCTTTTTTCCCCACACAAAAAATATGAAACTATGAATACACAAAGAGACTAGCAACATCATAAGCACAATGTTAAAGAAACGCGGTTAATAGGTGCGTTAATTAATATTTATCGTACCTACAACAGCCCGCCGTTAACAGGGGGATGGTCTGTAAGCGAACACACTGGGCTCTATGGAGGCACTACACGACTATACACTACACTACTATACACTAAATTATACACTACATTACTATACACTACTGTACACTACATTATACACTACTATACACTACACACTGGGCTCTATGGAGGCACTCCATGACTATACACTACACTATACTCTACACCACATTATACACTACACTACATTATACACTACACTACATTATACACTACTATACACTACACACTGGTCTCTATGGAGGCACTACACGACTATACACTACACTATACTCTACACTACATTATACACTATACTCTACACTACTATACACCGCATTATACACTACACTACTAAACACTACTGTACACTACATTATACACTACACTACTATACACCACTACTGTACACTACACTATACACTACTATACACTACACATTGGGCTCTATGGAGGCCTGTCAAGCGATGAGTCGTTAACAGGTGTGGCCGTGAAGATGGGTTCTACTGTGTTAACCAGCGCGGGCCTTCCCGTGGTTCGAACCGCGAAACCCTCTGCTGCAACAGCTCAGAAAGCGATACGCGCCACCCGCTGGGCCCGCGTTGCATTGCGTGTCCAGTTCCTGTGCGATGGTTTTGTTGTGGTCGCTCGCCGCTGTGGTCGGACTGCCCTCTCAGGATATCCAGGCCCTGTGAGCGGGCAGGGGGGTACCATTTGTGTGACTCGGCTGTCTATTGCTGTTAGGGGGTTTTGTTTTTGTTTGGTTGTTTCTGTGACTCTTTAGCCTCACCCGGCCCTTTCATGTTTGGCCACGAGCGTTGGGGAGCGTGAAGGGGAAACCTTCGATGATCCGCTTAAGTCGGTGGCTCTTCTTCTTAATCTGGGGTGCACGAGACATGGCCACGTTTTTTTAGAAGCCAAATAAGCGAAACCTCAAATTAAGCACTGGGCACATAATTACAACTTTCTTTCATTAAACACCTACTATGTATTAACATTTTTTGTTACGATTGAGAATCCAAACGGATGCAAGGCTGCAGTAAAGGTTAAGAACTACTGGCTTAAGTCAATGAAGGCCACCACTACCACCGCCGCCTCACAGCCTCGATCGTTCGAAGTTCATAGGACTTGTCGAGTGCGCGATTGTCCTCCCGAGGAGGACTCTCCTCTGTGTCTCGCCGTGACACGCGAGAGTGCCCGTTCGCCGCACATTCACCGCGACAGATTGATACTCCGCTTGTCCGTGAGAGAGAGGCGAGTGGATAATACTGGTAGGAACCTCCTGGTTACACCAGCCCACAGGAGATTATTGCGTCCGTCCGTCGTGCAGGGAGGTGCTGGGTGGGGAGGGAGGGGAGGGGTCGGGCTGGGTGGGGAGGAGCTGGGTGGGGAGGGAGGGGAGGGGTCGGGCTGGGTGGGGAGGGGCTAGTCACCCCGTGGTGCCCTTATAAAACTCAACGTTTAACCTACTCACGCCGGCTTGTGCCCGTCCTCACAGTCGGGCATGTTTGCGGAATACACCACGCCGCCGTTGATCCTGGCCATTGACCGAGCAACCCAACGTTCCTACCAGCTCCCTCCGCAGGAATGTGTCGTGCGCGCGATGTGAGGTTGAATCGGGCCTGTTGGCGACGCGGGGGCATCATCGAGGCTAACCAAACTAAACTTTGTATTTGACCAGGTAAGTCCCCGCTGAGCTATAACGTAGCTCTCTTTTTTTTCTCAGAAGCGACCTGGCCACCACACGCCTTGACATCGTGGTTGTGGGCTGCACTGCCCTCTGCTGACAAGGTCCCTGCCTAGCAGCAGCAGCAGCAGCAGCCGCCACAGCCTATAACAGCTGTTATGCATGGTGGTCACCCTCCCCCCCTCCAGCACTGTGCAGGCTCAGTTCTGCTCGGCTTCTCGGGCGTGGCGAGGTCATGGGTCAAGGAACAGGTCGAAGAGCCACGGCGTTCGCTGTGTCGGGGGCCCCCCTCATCCAGCAGTGGGTTGACTACAAAGGGCTGTGCGTGTGTGTGTGGTCGCACGTGGATGATCAGTTTAACAGGTCGTCGGCTTTCGCGAACAGTATTCATAATCCAGGTTTTTTTTCGGGGGGGTTAGATGGCGTAAGTATATATATAAAACGACACGTATACATCTTCTTGGTTCTTTCGGTAAAGTCA